GTCGAGTCAGAGCTTATGGCGAACTGTCATCTGCTTTTGCAACCCCAAGTGGTGTCCGGCAAGGCTGTCCACTTTCTCCATTTTTGTTTAACTTCATCATAGACCTATTGATGGAAATAAAATTCTCGTCGATTGAATTCTCGGGTATTGATCTCCTTCCAGGAGGTCCACTTATCGACTTAGAATACGCAGATGATATAGTCCTGTTTGCTGAAGACGCTGATAAAATGCAGAGTATTGTGGTAGCACTGAGCAACAATGCCAGAATGTATGGAATGCACTTCTCTTCCTCTGGATGCAAGTTGTTGCTTCAGGACTGGTCTGAGTCAACACCTGAAATAAGGATAGGGAGTGAAGTAGTCGAATGCGTTGACAACTCCACTAATCTTGGAATTCTGATCAGCCTTAATGGGTTGGTGTCTGACGAAATCTCAGCACGGATTCGAAAAGCTCGTTTATCTTTTGCCAACTTACGTCACCTATTGTGAAGGCGAGATATCCGTCTATCAATAAAAGAACGAATATACTGCGCAGCAGTTCGTTCTGTTTTAATTTACGGCAGCAAAACATGGCCATTAAAGAGGAGAAGACACCCGTAAGCTACTAGTATTTGACCACATATGCCTTAGAAATATTGCTGGCATCTGCTGGGATCACCGGGTAAGTAATAGTGAGGTTAGACGCAGGGTATTAGGTAATGATAGTAAATCAGTTGATGAGGTTGTGGATCTTCATCGACTGAGATGGTTGGGCCACGTGTTACGTATGCCTGAACACCGATTACCACGACGTGCAATGCTAACCGGTGTTCGGGATGGTTGGAAGAAAATGAGGGGTGGCCAAACCAAAACATGGCATCAGTGCGTGAAGACATTAACTTCTAGTCTGAGCCATGTTGGGAGATGCAGACTACTTGGTTGGGGTCCACGTGACTATCGTAATCAATGGTTGGAGACTCTTGGTGATATGGCTCAGAATCGATCACAGTGGTGTAGGTGTATACACTCTTTACCTTTCTTTAAACTATGAGGTTAAAATCACTTTATATCTTTTTTTCTATGAACTAATTCTTTCTTCCTGTACTATATCCTTATATGCAATCTTTCTTTTATATATTACCACCTCTGAATTAACTACTTTTATGAATCCGGTGTTCATCTTGTTGTGTTAATGAGGTATGTCAACTTGGACCGATGTATATATGTGCCTGGTCCTACGTTGTATCTGACTGACTGACTGAGGATCAATTAGGACGCTAGGCTGCTCATACCGGTCGAAAGTCATCGGTTTACCACAGTGCTAAGATTGTATAAGTCGTATTTCCATTGGCGGATAAATCACGTGATACCAGCCGGACTTAGAGTCACATCATATTGGACATATTCTGTTAGAAGCGACACTCCATGACCTAGTTTTCATGCTACATTCAGCACTCTTCAGCAACACATGTTATGAAACTTCGTCACTATCGTTTTTGCAAACATTGTTAAGTCGGGATTTATGCTAATAAAATGTTTTATTTATCGGCACAACGACAAAGCACAATGATATCGAATGAAGTATTTTTATAAAGTATTTTTTGAAACATTTCAAATTACATAATACTATTACTAACGGGAAAGTGACGAATTTCGCATGTGTGATTTTCACTTAAAGCTTAGTTTGTGCTTGATTGAATGTATCTGTTGAGAAACTTACGTATTTTATTAATGGTTACAATCAGGAATCTATAACAGTTTGACAGTTGATGAAAACTATTGAAGCTTAGAACTCTGCCGCAGTGCAAACCAGCTATATGACATTTGTTAACAGAACGTAATGATGAAAATATTTTTGGAAAAAATACAGTTGTCCTCTAGTGAGAGATTGTTTTTTGATGAAACTCTCCCATTTTCAAAAAACGAGAAATACATTATTTTGACTTGGTGAAGTTGCCTTCTCTGACTTCGAACATCATACTGAAGTCAAACGTTCGTACTGATGATGTTGTCTAGAACGATAATGAACGTTTTTAAAATAAACTACTTGGCTCAGAAAACGCAGTACCACTATCAACATCAGCGATGCCATAAATATTTCCAAACTATAAGTTTGAATTGTATATTTCTTAATAAAATGAAAGATGTCCGGTTTCATATTATTTTAAGTGTATATAGGTAGACATGATCTTAAATAGTGTGAAAGTCTAATAATCTGCTTGATAACATGATGACAACATTTCATTAAACTGACTAACAGGGAAAGCTTTTTAAGGTGACATCGCTTTCCATTGTTTTGGGCAATTACTGATTATTCGGAAACATAGTCTATGTGGTCAGAAAATCACAAATAACGTTATGCAAACATCTTAAAATTAGTTTTTGACTTCAAATGATGTAAATTATTAAATGCAGACTAGAAATCATAGACTACGATATTTTTTGTTGGTTCCTTAGTGTACTACTACAATAACAACTACTACTCATTTGAGTTTTATAATATTTGAATAAATATAAAAATATGCAGGAAAAAAGTTTCTGACAGTTTCTGATTGTGTATACAATATAGTGAACACTGAAGTTAAACGTTTACCCAACAAAATTTTGTACGCATCTAATTTATTCATTCTACAAACCACTGTGGGGATAGTTAAGGTAGACTTATTTTGTAATCAGTTTTTGTTGTTATCTGAATTTTTCATTAAGTCTCATAATTTGTAAATTAGCATTATTGATTATAGAATTGTTGATTAAAAAACGTAACAATTAACCTTTCGTTCCGGTTTGTGAGCACACACAACATGACCAACTGATTGTCGCTCACAAATACACTTCTGCACACACAGGCTATTCTAGTTTCCAGAGAGAACAATCTATTCATTCTTCTCAAGCCGCATTTTGACCTTGCCACTTATTGGCTCATTAACCCTAACTTTTTATACGATCGCATGTGTGTTGTTTGCTTATCCTATTCATCATATGCCTGTAACTAATTTTTGGTGTGATTATGTATATTGAGTAACGCTTGATTAGACTAAGTTGGTTCACTTACCTTCTCCGATCTGCCTCGCCCTCGCCTCTTCCTTTTGTTTCCCTGATTATTTGTTCAAATCAATGAGTGCATGAAATATACATGCTGAAAAACCATTCTCGTATGTGACTTGTTCCGTTATTCAATAATGCGGATTAAGTCAATAATTATATAGGAGGAAAGCTGGGATGTATCTTTCAATAACAATCAGCAAACGATCTAATTGGAGACAGATAATGGAATACATAACCACGCCATATCGTTTAATTGACACTTTTCAAGTTAGCAAATATAAAAGGTAACATGATGTTGGTTACCAATAACACATTAATCGTTAATTTCACTCATCTACTTATTTTGCTAAATTAATTCCGTCTGAAAAGAACAAAGTGTAACTAAGTAATTTAGTCATATTTGTTAGTCAAAGCAGTCAATCTATTGATTCTGTAGGGTATATACATGCATTGAACTATTGATTAATTATTGTTAACTCTTACCAGTTCACTGAATTCAAATCTACCTATTAGTCGTACAATCAAAATGATATGTATAACAAAAAATTTTGATGAAATTTTGATCAATTGTAAGTTAGTGATAAAATGAGCAGTATAGGGTTGCTAGTATCATCATCTTGTCCGGTTATTATAAATCCATCTAAAATAAAACCGGGGAAATATTTGACATTGTTCTACATTTTCAAATCATAATTACAAGTAGTTAAAATGGATTTTGCCCAGTAGTGAAATATAGAACATGAGTTTCATGCTACTTAAGACTCATCATTTTTATTTAGTTGTCAGACTGAAATCTGATTTATGGAATAGAACATTTCATATCGGGATCAACCATATATTATTATAGGTGTCATTACCAAGGTTTGATTTGATAATTTCGAATAAATTGAGCATTGGGTTGATTGTTATAAATCAAAAGAATATATTTGTAATATCCCAATGAGTAGAAAATTGGATTTTCTGACGTTTCGTGACTTGGTGTAAGTCACTTCTTCAGAGAATAAATAACCAAATTAAAATTAATCTAAGTTTAAATAGTACAATGGAACAATGCAAGAATAATATTTGATCAATCAAAAAACAGGTCTGAACAAGTTGATGTCATGTCATTTCTGTCAAGGTGATTCATACGTGATATGTATGTAAATTTGTGTGTGTATGTATGTGTGCATTGTTTAAGAATGAAAACTGTGTGACCTATATGGTAAGAAAGGATAGAGTTTAAATTTGTAATATGATAGTGTGAAATTGTAAATACGATCAGACTGAATGGTTAGGATAGATGGTCCAAGTAGGATGTATGGTGAGGCCTTCCTTTCTATTGAGAGAAGTAGGATTAAGCATTATATGGAACGCCTCAGCTACCCTCCTTTCTTTGTAGTTGGAAAAGCCTTTTTGCAATATTTTGATATTTTTAAAATCGATTTGGTGGTTGTTGAAAATGGCATGAACTGCTATTGCCGATTTAATTTGTAGTTGGTTCAATTCTACCGGATTGTTAGGAGGTTTCTTTGTGTACCTAATATGTTCTTTGGCTCTAGTCAAGATTTCGCGGGATGACTCTCCAATATAATAGGCATCACAATCGATACAACCTAATTTGTGGACGCAGTTCTGTGTGGACATGAAAGGGATTTTGTCTTTCAGGCGAACTAAAGTATTACGTAGTGTGTCCGTTGTTTTGTAATACACTTTGATTCTGTGATGTTTTAAGATTCTTTGGATTTCTTCTGTTATTATTATTTTCTGTGTCATTGAATTTTAATGTAGGAAAATTATTATTTTTATGAATAAATTGAATGTTCTTCCAAACTTTTAGGACATAGTGTTTATCGTTGTTAAACCATTTTTATACTTAAAAATAATGGATACATGATTATATTGTAAAGGCACACACAACACTATATTTGTCTGTGATTGTTATCTATAAAAGTTTAGTTTACAAATGCTTTTTCTTTTATTTTCATAATAATTTAGCCTGAAACATCTGGATACAAAACTAATACTGAGTCTAAAAATCAACGGTAAGTGAAAAGAGTGGTGCTTTCTGTCTAATACAAATCGGAAATGAAAGCACGTTTGTTTATGTTGAAGAAGTTAAGGTATCATTGGAAAGCAGAATCTTAATACCTGAGCGTTTACCTGTGAGAGCCAAAAGTCTCAAGATACGTTCACTGATGTGGTCACAGTTGTGTACTGTTGAGGATACTCATAGTTTGACGAGTTAGCTATCCGTCTCCTGATTTTCAACGATATTGATCGATATGTCACGAATACAGCTATATGTATCCAGTAATTTTATTGTAACAGTTTTATTTCACGATGAAAGCAATTAACAGAAGGGGTTTTGTGAAGATTTTTAGAAATTTCAATAGTTGAAATCACGAATCAATTGAAGTTAGGCCACCATGGAAAACCTGGAATCACTGGACAACCGTCTCGTCCTAATATGGAGCTCTTCAGCAGTGCGCGTCCGCGATCCGTCCCCTTCCCGAGACATCCGAACTCAGGACTTAACAGTCGTTTAACCATTAGACCACTGAGCAGCCCGGGATCCAATGGTGTTAATGTCTAACTTCAACCATTCCACGAAAATGCGATATTAACATTATGTTTAAGTGTTTCTATGCAAAAGTTTTTCGAATGAAGTGTAAAGTTAAAAACCCTAAACCATAAGTTGTTAAAATGAAACAGACGTCTACATGATACTTTACTATGATTGCTCATTAATTGTAAATCAAAACCACACATAATATAAACCAGTCGGCTTGTCTACTCATTTCATGTTTGAAATGGATTAATTCATTTAATAGAGGTTTTCGCCATTCACTGATAAGACATAAATGTAGGGTTAATGCTTTTGTTATGGTCTGCGAGTATGAGTTCAAGACTGGCATACACACTTCCTGTATGCGAGTCCAATAAGCGACTTGGGTTGGAGGACTAAGAGCGGGTAGGACGATTTTACTAGGTAGTCTAACTTTAAATATATGCACAACTCATTTGTACGTGTAGACACAAGTTCGTCAGAAGGTCTGGATACAGATTTAACTAACAGCGTACGCTTGCTCCCTCAGAAAGTGGAGCCTGAACTTGATCAATAGTGTGTAGTCATCACCATTTCTCACTTTTTATCTGGACTATGTTTGATTGGTTTCGCGTGACAGTTTCAGCCCGGTCATACTATGAAAATCCGGAAGTTAGTGAATGATCAACTAATAAGAATATTGGAATTGTACTGATCAACAATAACTATGTATTATGAGATATTCCAACGGAAAGTTGGGATTATGTAAAGGTTGAAACTACTCAATCGCTCATATAGTAGAAGAATGTTCGTTCATATAACATTTAAAAGACCAGATCAGATTAGTAATGAAAGACTTTTGCTAACCGAGAGCGTGTTTGATGAGCTCGAGACCGATTCACATAAATTTCTGAGCAGACTTTACAATGTAAGAAATAGCGTTAGCACTGAATCTTTCTGAATCAAGGAACGTTATATGTTTTTTATGTTTCTTCACTGTTTCTATCATTTATTTCTGCCTGGAAAGACATGATTGGCTCTAAACTCCAGTAGTACTAGGAATAAGGCATCCTCACTTTCTTCACTGCCTTTCAATGTGCGTGTTCAGTTTGATGGGATCCCAGCATATAAGTCTTTAATGTTGAATAAGAAAACACTCAGACGGATTCTAATACATGATTTAGCTAAAAATTATGGTGAATCAATTAATGAACAATGTTTTTATCGTACGACTACTTCAACTCCGGCAGCACTTAATATACCATAATTTATTCTCAACAATGCCAGTCAAAAGAAAGTACGCTGCAAATGTCTTTTTTAAAATTTTAATATAACTGAACCAATTAAGTAGAAATAATTATCGTCGGAAACCGATAAATATATCAAAGAACCATTGAGAACCGATTGTTACTAGACAGCTACGGATTTGTATTATTCTTTTTCGGCTGTTGAAGATTTTACCTGATCAACCCTAACTGTCACATCGTAAACGTGTGAGTAATTCCTCTGTATTGACCCTTAATATGAAGTTTTAGTAGAAACAGATTGTGGCTAATATTTGAATCTACCTAAATCTTAGTGTAGACGATAACACTGAAACCCGAATAAAGTGTCTATTGCTTGTCGATGAATTATCCTCTGAGCTTCTGAGTACACTTTTACTGAAAATGTGCCACTAACTAGTAATACTGAGGCAATCTGTGTAGGGATTAATCAGTTGCCGCCTTTAACAGAAAAAACGGGAAAACGCGAATTCTCACAAATAAATTTATACCAGCTGAGTAATTTTAATGGTTATACAGATTCAGAAGCCTAGTAGATAATTCACTATTGTTTAAAGTGGTAAGTACTTTGTTCGACTTTCAGCGTAGGCGTCAATACTTGGATCTAAGTACATTCGGCTGATCAGTTTAGAATAGAACAAATGGGCGTCCTGGATTTCACTGATAGATACAGTCCAACTTAACAAAAACAATATAGCTGTTTAGTTTAAATTTTAGAATGTGATGTGCTATGCATCACCCAAGGTACTTCACTATTTGGTGTTTCAAAATACCAAATTCACAAATTTATATTCTCTGTTGCATTTCAAGATCATCAAATTCTTTACACTAATTCTTATCTCCCTTTATTTTTACTTCATTAGCCTATTCAATATCCAGTTATTTAATGCTTCATGAGCTGCTCTTATATTTTTTAAGATTTGAAACATTTGTTTATTCTGCAAATAATCAGTATGATATGGAATAAAGTAACAAGTACATGAACATATTTTGCTCTCAGTTGAAATACACTTGTTTGAATTTCCTAATCCAATTATCATTTGCCCACAAAAATGATGAAAACTCCATCTGTTTATTCTCAAAGTGTCCCATGCAGATTATTTAAGTTGCAAATCTTTGAAAAAATCCCCTGAATTCAATAAATATATACCAGTTTCAGTCATCATTCTTTGTTTACACAAGATCACATTATCTGCCTGAGGATCCAAGTGAAGAGAGAGACAGTAATCGATTCAGTCTGGAAAATCCTAACAAAGACTTACCAAAATTTGCATTGATTGACTGTTCACCTTACGGTATGACTGACCAAAAACAGTAATCGGTAGCATAGTAAAAAAAATTATTAATTTACGTATTTCTATTTTGACACGCTGATTATGTAAATCTTCAGTTGCTTGGATTTCGTCAATGGTATCATGAACTGTTATTGATCTTTTTTTTATATAAGCACATCCTCTGCGAATTCGTTCAGTATTCCTATTGAGCCACAAACATTCAGTGTAAGAAAATGGTTAGCGGAGTTATTTCCGTGGCACAACCTAGTGGTTATCTGGAAACATTAGCATAATGAATAACTTTCACAGCGTTGAAATATTAAATTAATAGGTTTGAATCCAGATGTGAATATCAACACTGGAATACAAGTACATCCAGCTGATGAGTTTCAACTAAGACCAAAACTCACATTCTTAATTTCATTACAAACCACTTTCCAATTTTTCGTATAGACAATACTGTTTTATATTTAAAATACTGAACATACAAGAATATACTTTTTATGATTCTATTTTTATATAGATCGTCAGAGAATAAATGGACAAATCTAAAAGACAAGAAAATCCTTCAATATGCTGAAAAACAAGTAGTAAGTTGAATATAAAAACGGAAAAAATATACATTATTCACTAATTCTCATATAAGGTGCTTTGAATAGTTTAATTTAAACATTATTTAAATGCTAATTTTTAATAAATTAAAAAGTTATCATACTGTTAGAAATTTATTTTCTAAGTAGTTTGGATTGTCTATGTTCAATCACTCACGAGGTCATTTTAACTAATTAATTTTTAATTTTAAAGCTGACATTATCTGTAATGATTTTATGTTCAATATGTGTGTCTTGCTCAACAATTCCGGTCATTTTTCTGTCGACTTAATGGGTAAGTGTAGCATATTGGATGATGTGACCTTCGTTATGTATTTCAATTCAAACATAACATTTCATTCTAAATTCATTCTTCATCCATCATATTAGGTTACACTACACTGGACACCTTACATAGCGAACAGTTTGAGATAACTCTAATTGACATTAAACGTATGACATTTTTAAAATTCGAAATCAAATAAAGATATTCGTTGTATAACTAAAAATATATGGACAGAATTACCTATTAGTTGGCGCTTTTAAATCTTCGTATATAGCAACCTAGTGATTATGTTTTTCACTTGCTGTTTGATGATTGGAAACATTTAGCTTGAATCCTAGAAACCATCATTTCTTAGTGATTGATATTTATCAGAAAAGAATATCTGAGATTAACTGACAAGCGATGCACCCCTGAAAGCGATTTCGTCAAGCATTACAATGACGATATCGGTCAACAATATTACTGTTGAGTTGGTTCGCTTCCTTTCCTATTAATATCGATAACTTGAAAATAATGATTATCGTATTATCAAATAATGTAGGCAATTCAATATTGTATTTTTATTGCATTGAATCTCATTAAAAAACCTAGTAGACCGATAGAACATTTGTATTTGAAATGAACAGATGTATGCTACTTTAGGAATTTGATAAACTTCCGTTTGGTTTCTTTTATGTATGTCAAAATATACAATAACAGATTGTGTAACAGATACACTTACATTTACAAATAACTATTTATCAGTATAGGGTTATGGAGACTGTTGAGTTGCATTTGAGATATTTACCTATATAGAAAAATACTCTCACATCTGTCCATCTTTTATCTAAAAATACTTGCTTATTTTGTGAAATAAATAATGAATGAAAACCATATGTTTTAAACGTCTAAATAAAAAAAGAAAGAAAACGGAATGAAACAAATGCTTTGATATTGTACGTTTAGATAAAGTGTGACAGCGAGAGGATTTTGTATGTATGATAGGGAGATGGTATACAGAATCGAAATAATTGCATTCTAATAACGACGGCTTGATATAATTGAATATTAAAATCAATGTGAAACAATAACATGTGTTCATTACGACAAGGATTGTTTAACAAAATGGAAATTTACAACTTGTATACTGATATATATATATATATTGTCAGTGTACTTTAAGAATAATTATTATATTAATGCAGTTTAGTCAAGAAGATTGTTCTGATCAATAAACTCTTCTGAGTACTACAACAAGACAAATCAAACTTTGGAAAATTTAGTAAAGATAATCATTTCAGCATAGATCTATTCATTTTATTTTCCTTTGTTATATTCATACTGCTAAGTCCTACAGAAACGTTTTTTAACTCGATTTATTTTTTACACTAATATATATCGTAGATGATCTTGTATTGTTAAGTGTTTTATTTTTTTATTAACCTATCACTATCTAATTCATTGTTGGTATTCTTCAAATTAAATTCTAACCTTTCATTGGAAAAAATATCACTGTTCAGCTTGATAGTACTTGAAAAACCACAAACTAGTTTTAGGTATGCACTGTGCATCTGTTTCCTCATAATATGGAAACTTAAAGCTATGATCGCTCATTAAGTCATCAGATGTTGTACTGAAGAGATTCAGGCTTTTCAACGACGTTAACTTTAGAACACTGAGTTGAAATTTAATGGTTTACGTTTCTAAATACAACCAATTCTCACTATCGTGTGATACCTATTTGGATTCCCTTACTTTTTAATATTACCTAATTTTAAAATGAACTATATCCACATGTCTCGATTTCTAATAACGTCAAGTTTCATTACAGTCTAAAACACAGTGAATAAGAAAATATTTAAGCAGGGATTTATGTTTAAATGTATATATTTGACAATATATGGAAGTACACAGATGATCAATGTATCCAACAGTTAAGACTTCACTTAAAGACATAGTTCTGAATTAATTTTTTGCTAGTTTTACCTTATTCATAAAAAACCGTTTCTTAGTTATTTTTAAATATTGTTTTTAACCCATATTTGTGATAATCATTAGCAACATTGTTTCTAATTGGAAAACGGAACAGATAAATAAAGTTTTTCATCAATGAAATGATCTTTTACCTAAAATGTGTCACCAATTGTGAAAAATACTCATTTTCCTAATAAAACAAATTATATTTATTCATCTATTGAAAACGGAATGATTCTTTCTTTTTCAATCTAAACCATCATTTTGGCTACAAGGTGAGATAACAGAAAAGATATTTATTAAATGGTTTGAAATCATTCATTCACATTTCCATAAAAACTCTTAAGAAACAATTGAAATGTATTTCGAAAAAGATGTCTGAAGTACATGAAAGTTTGGATGATATAACAAATCAACGTAAAAACGAAATTCATAGATTACAAATACACTTGTTAGGGGTGAATATACTAGAAAAGACGTTAAGTAACAAATATATTCTGTGTATTAATTAGAAAATTATTGTCAATTTTTATTACTATGCAATAATTTCAAGACACCTTTTTAAGTCAGACAGATTTTAAAATTTGTGTGTCTGTTGACTGACTTAAATTACAGAATGAAGTATTTATTCTAGCAGTTTGTTTATAACGTTTAGAAATTATATCGTGTCTAATACGTTTTTTTCGTTTGAACAGTAACAATAATATATTATGTGTTATTATGATGTTTACATAAGAAGCTATATATCTACTGTATGTATAGTCCATAAGAGATAAACACACAAATGCACACCAAAGTCATAAGAACAGTTACGATAAATTGTGTAAAAGTAAATTTTTTTCCTTCATTCTTATATGAATTCCCTTTTGATTCTCTAATATACAGTTTTCAGTACAAATTCATTTTGGTAAGAACTTTACTTGTGATCTCCGAAAATGTCCATGAGATATTTTATTCAATTGTTACTCAAACAGGATGTGGATAATACAAATAAACAATTAATTTTGATAGTTGCAATCATGAGTCAATTGAAGCTAGACCACCATGGTAAACCTGGAAGCACTGAACGGCCGTTTAGTCCTAGTATGGGACTCCTCAGTAGTGCGTATCCACGATCTTGCCCTCCGCGACATTCGAACCCAGGACCTATCAGTCTCGCGCGCGAGAGCTTAACCATTAGACCACTGAGACGGGTGGCATCTAACGGTGTTAATGTCTAACTTCAAACAATCCACGAAATTGATAATAATCATCTGCTCACTGGTGACTGACTTGAAGAGGCAGTTCCTGGAGTTCTAGTCAGAAGCCGTTACCAGTGGAGTTCAACCAGGTCTGTTGTGAGATATCAACTCACTGAAGACAATGGCGTACGGTGGCGCAACTTCGCGGATTGGTTGAAGTTAGACATTAACGCCGTAGGATACCGACTCAGTGGTCTAATGATAATTAATTTTAACTAATTTAAATAAAACTAAGTATTGAAGTTAGAAACTAATATAAGGAATTAGGATTAGAACTAGTAGTTAATGCTAATGATTAAAGTGTGAGTTAAGAGTTAAAGTTGAGAATTAGATTTAAAGTTTGAGTGATGACAGAGAGATGATTTGTAGCCATATGAATGGGTGAATTATTCAGTACTTTTTCTGCTAGATTTCAAGAAAAATTAAGTTAATTTGTAAAGTTCACAAATCAAGCTAAACATATCTAGATTTTAATTCTGTTTGCTTCCCTTTTTATGTTATATTTTCATAGACGACCATTCATTTAGTAAGATACACTTTTACAATCTCTCAAAATGTTTCCTTTTTTTTTCTTTAATTGTATTGTCTTATTTAGTAATTTTAATCATTTTTGTAATTGAACAATGAGCAGTTTTGCTTCACTCTTAATTCGGTACCAGATATCTTTTACGCTTTTCTGAATTTTATGCAAAATTCTAAGAGCACTCATTTTAATTCTGATTGGCTTCTTCATAAACTGTAGACCTACCGTTTAAAGAAATCCATCTAAATAATTTATTACCATCTGAAAAGTATTTTTGGAAATTCGTTTTAGTTACAATGATATGTAAACTATCTGCCTTTATCCCATAGATTTCGACAGAAATTCAGATTGAATGAATAAAATTTAAGTCTGTTACTTGCAGAATTCTGGGATTCTTAACACCAATATAGTGTAACTTCATTTGAGTTATATGTTAGAACTCGCAAAATCCATTTATTTAAAATATCTTTATCGTAATGAAAAGTTGATTAATCTAACAATTCATACTGGTTGGAATTCAAATTCACGCAAAATTAGACAGAAAGATAATCATATTCATCGTACAATTAACATATAAAACTGCCATCTTTTATGTTAGGTGGCGGGAATTTATAATGAAGAGTTTTCAATTTATATTACCTGTCCCTACTTGTAATCTCTTCTAGAATGGTGGCTAATGAACTCAAGATTCAAGTAAAATATTTGTTTGAGGTTCATCAAAATCCATCATCTTCACTGTAGGTGAAATGTCTTTTTGTCTAACGAAAAAGCAATCACGTTTTGTGGTAGTTTTATCTGCTTCATTTTGTGACTGTGAAAGATGGTCTCTGAAAGTTGAGGAAATCTGTAGTTTGCTGATATTTAGTTTCAGATAGCTCCGTGATATTGCTCAATTGTCCTGAAATAACTGAGTGGGTTAAGGTTTAGTTGAAGTTACAAGGAAAAAAATTCTGAATCGATTAACAAGACTTTGAAATTCATGGATTTAAGTGGTTAA